GTCCCGACCCGAAACGTCAACTTTCCTGCTCCCCTGATGCTGCCTGGCCTGCTGTGTTCCTCCAGCTCCACACTGTGTTATCTCAGACTCCAGCATCTGCAGTTCTTGCTATCTCTCCTTCTGAAGTTGATTGGTTTCCCAGTCATTAAGAGTATGTGTGAATGGATTTTGATTGATGTTGAATGCTCAGTAATCTCTGTAGTCCCCATACTGTCTGTGCTGGGTAGGCTGAGGTGTAGAACCCGTCTAAGGCTCTGTTTCAGTTGATTGTTCTGTTAGGGACGAGGTATAAATTGGAATTCCAGGCTGAACAATGGTTCCAGACAGCCATCTCAGTCCTGTACGTTGTGTTTGTGTATTCTCCACAGACCTCATTCCGGCTTCCATTTACTTTGTAAAAGTTTTGAAAAGTCCAGGGTTTTGTCCGGTACTTTAGATAGTGGGGATTTTTGCTCACTCCTGCACTACGACAAATTGCATTCACATAGCACTTTTAGTGTAGTAACACGTCCCACAGTATTTCACAGAGCAGCGTCAGCCATTTGACACTGAAACACGTGAGGAGACAATGGGAAAGGAACAAAAGTAGAAATTGCTGGAAAAGTTCAGCAGGCCTGGCAGCATCTGTGGAAGGAATCAGAATTAATGTTTCAGATCGAGTAACCCTTCCTCAGAACTCCGTTTACAGCTTCCACAGTTCTTTCAGTTTTTAATAGGAAAGGAACTCTTGGCTATACAGAGACAGTTCAGACAGAGCTAGGAAGAACTGCCGATGCTGGAGTCAGAGTCAATACAGTGTGGAGCTGGAGGAACACAGCAGGTCAGGCAACATCGGAGGAGCAGGAGAGTCAATGTTTCAGGCCTAGACCCTTTGTCAGGACTGGTAAAGTCTGACTGGGCCAGTCCTTATGAAGGGTCTAGGCCCAAAATGTCAACTCGCCTGCTCCTCTGATGCTGCCTGACCTGTTGCGTTTCTCCAGCTCCACACAGAGGGTCACTGGATTTGAAATGTTCGCCCTGTTCTTCTCTCCACAGATGCTGCCAGACCTGCTGAGTTTCTCCAGCAATTTCTGTATTTGTTTCCGATGTTTAGCTGCGTCTGAGGAGGTGAAATTTGGAGAGTGAATTTCAGATCATTATTGGATGACGAATGAATGTTTCCAGATCCAAGATTGCTGCATTCTGACAATGCACAGTTCACCATTCACTGCCTCTGGAATGTCATGATGCTGGTGCTGTAGTAAGAAAGGAAGACTTGCAATTGTACGACGTTCCAGTCTGTTCCAACAAGCTCTACAGCCGGCGAAGTGTGTGGTGATTAATGTAGCAAATGCAGTGTCTCGTTAGCACAGAGCAAGCTCCCGCTGAGATCAATGTGGTAACGAGCAGGTAATCTGCTTTTCTAATGTTGATTGAGGGCTAAGAATTGACACCAAGAAACTCCACTTTCCCCCCAACTCTGCTTTGATGTAGTGCCACTGAACCTTTTACATCACACTGAAAGGGCAGCTGGGGCCTCGCTCAATGTCACTTTAATACTTCACCTGCAGGACGGCACCTCCAGCAGGCCGCGTGGATTTCTTCAGCATGAGCCCCTGGGTTGTGAAATGAACCTGGGAACCTCAAATGCTGGACCTGAGCCACGGCTGACGCACAATCCGACCCTTCACTAATGTCAAATCAGACAACCTCCCTCGCCCACCCAGGATCTGTTGCTTTTGGCAACGTAAGATTTAAACAACTGAGTGAGAATCCGCTTCCCAATTCGCAGTTGCACCTAGCCTCTTTAATGTTTGCACTCAAAC